GAGCTTCTATCAAAAATGATACCCAGGTACCTCAGTTTGCTTTCTCTTGTGACATTTGTGTCATTAATTGTGAGGCTTGGAACATTAGCTTTTACAATTCTATTGCCCAGAAAGTACCATAAAACAGCTGCCTTTTTTAAATTGATGGCAGTACAAGTCTCTGCATACCAGTCAGTCACTTTGTCTACTGTTGCTCATGGGCTGTCTGTTGCCTATCACTCCCTTACCTATATGTAAGAACATCTGCAAATGTCAGTATCCTTCCAACCCCTGGTGCTCTAAGTTCTGCAATCTTGCTTGTATCCACAGAATAGCACTGGTGAAACAGTAGAACCCTGAACAACCTGGACTTTTAGTCACAGTTTACAGCCAGTGAATTTATGAAGAAGCACAAAAGAAGGTTATAAAAAGATTGAGATGTTTCTTTGTTGTTAACATATTAACTTTGTGATGTTAACGTTAGCTGGCATTCTTCTGTGTGGTAAGTCTTTGTGACAGACAGAATGAATGGCATATGTTAACGGTAAATTACCCCTGCAAACATGTCACCCAATGCCTGCCCCTTCCTAACCACAAATGCATAGTTTTCATTCTTAAGCAATATGACAAGAAGAGATAAAATCAGAAATAAAGAAATTAGAAGAAAACTAGGACTGAAATCAGTCATATAATTCATTAAAGAACAACAAATGAGATGGTTTAGAAACCTGATGAGAATGCCCTGGTACCAGCTGCCATAGAGAGCCACGCTGAAGAATTATAATGAACACAGGAGCAAGGGGAAGACCACACAAGATATGGAGAGACATCATCAGAAGCAACCTAACAGAAATGAATATCAACTTGTACAATGCATTGAAAAAAGCAAACAAACTAACCTTACACCCCCCCCCCCCCCCCCCCCCCCCCAACACCTCACTGCGGTAAATAGTGCAAGAAAAGAAGCAGCAGCAGCAATATGTATACAGTATAATTCTAGACCCGACAAAAAAATACACAATGTTCACTCCAGTGAGGTAACAATTATGTTTTTCCTAAGCCAACTAACAAATACATCAGGGCTATTTAACTGGTGGCCCAGCGGGCAAATACGGCTCAAAAAGACTCAGCAGGTGACTAGTAGCTAACTGCCAAGTACATTGTTTATTATGATCTTTCTAGGCTGGGGTTCGAGTCTCTAGCCCCTAAAGATCCCTCATTTTCAGCAATTTGGCCCTTAAGTAAACCTAATTAAATTACACTGATACACACTACGCACTGAGCCAAGCAGTTTATAGTAATGTAAAGGACCCTTTTCCCCGCCTTCAGGCGTATTGGGTATATAGGGCTGGTCATATATTTTATAGACCAAACAGCACTTGGTGGGGGATGTGTTCAGCATTATGCCGGCCACCAGGGGTGTACCTAGTACCCACTCAAGGCTGGGTCAACCTGGGAGCCAAGGTCATTTTTGAAAAAAGTCAAGCCACCTCTGTCAGGACCCGAACCTACGACCTTCCAATCCACAGGCGAGCGTCTAGCCACTAGACCACAGTGGCTCCCCCAAGCAGTTCATACACTGCTCATTCTGAACCAGTGTACATACTGCTCTTTCTGAGCCATGTTTACAGTCAGCCAAATGACATCTTCTGTGTTTATGTTCAGCTAAACAACGCATTTTTGTGTGTAACGTAACAATGTATAGTTCTCATATTCAACTAAACATGTAACTGTGTTCAACCTCAGCTAACATTGTTCAAACACAGCAAGATTTTAAAAAATGTACATAAACAGCTTTTATTTGTAATCAAACGACTTACACTGTATTTTCTCATATATGGTGTTCATATAGAGTCAAAGCATAACTTTCAGCTAAATAATGTACAGACAGTAAAACCTCGTTAACATGAATTCCAAACGTTTAAAAATTGAGCTCATGTGTAAAAAAAAAATTAAAAAATTGCTAACTGTGGATTAATAACAATCAAACATCCCTGCTGGGACCAAAATTGTAGTCATGTTAATCGGGTGGTGCTTTCAAGTGCCAGTTTGCGTTAACGAGGTTTTACTATAACAGCTTTCATTTGTAGTTATTCAGTGCCTACAGTGTACCAACTGAGCATACCAACATTCACAGCATTAATTTTCAACTAAACAGTGCACAAAATGGTCATTCCAGGTCCAAGGATGTATGCAGTGTAGCTCTCAACAATTGTTCTCTACGCTGTTAAGCTTGTCCCCCATATATTAAAAAAAGGTTTGTGTATTCAGTTTATCCTCTGCATATTCAGTTTATTATTTGTGTATTTGGTTTATCATTTGTGTATTCGGTTTATCATTTGTGTATTTAGTTTATCATTTGTGTACTCAAGTTTATCATGTGCATTCAGTTTATCATTTGTGTACTCAGTATATCATCTGCATATTCAGTTTATCATTTGTATATTCAGTTTATCATTGGTGTATTCAGTTTATAATTGGTGTATTCAGTTTATTATTTGTGTATTGAGTTTATCATCTGTTTATTCAGTTTACTGCCAAAAAAAGGAGTTAAAAGGCAAGAGAACTGACTTCACAGTATCAGTTATTCCCATATGATTCAGTTACTCTTTGTAAAGTAGCTGGGTCACCCATTAGGAACATCACATAAACAAACAAAAAACTCTAGCAAGTGAATTTTCAGAAACACCTACACTTGTGAATGAAAGGGCAGAGTCCTGAACTGAACCCACAAGCCTCAGAGAATGGGGCGAATGGAATAACCACAGAGACCCAGTTGATCACCACAACAAAACATTGAAACAACTGCGTCTACATGAATATCCTGTATAATGATAAACACACAAACATCGCTACTGAGACACTGAAACATTATGAGCTTTGATTATTTCCACTGTAAAACAGAACATTTTATTATTTTACAGGCAGTTTAGGCACCATTCACATTATGTGGCTCATTCAGAAATAAAGATTCCTGGGACAATCAACTTTCTAATGGAACCTCACAGGACTGTCAAGAAACTAAACATTTGTGAAAAGCATTATTTCCCTACATATCACATTCCCATATAAACTGCAGATCAAATCTCAAGCAAGATCAAGATTCTCCAGCCACTGAACCGTACTTTTGAAAAGCATCATTTACCTGCATTTCCCCCATAAACATTCCATTAAGTCTCAACTCTCTCTAGCCACTAAACCATACTTTTGAAAGCATCATTACTTCACATAACTATATTTCCATACCAACTTTCTTCAAACCTCTTGGCAGTCAAGACTGTCAAACACCTAAACCATATTTTTGGTAAGCATCTTTTCTTTCCATAACCCCACTACATTGACTTGATTTCCACGGCTGTGGCAAAACAAACAAGCATAGAATAATACAGAAAAAAATACCTGTCTCTCTCTCTCTCTCTCACACACCCACACACAAACACACCACTAGCAAATGTTCATAAACTGGTTATTTATTTATTTATTTATTTATTTATATATATATATGCAGACTGAGCTATTCTTCAAGTGTAGCCTGAGATATTTAAAGCCCCTACTCAAACAAAATGCAGCTACTAAGACAAGTGGAATGAAAGCTGCCCCTCTCTGGTAGCAGTTCTCAAGCGTTCTCTCATTATTTCTATAGACGAGTAGTCTGGAAGTTTCAGGTAGTTCACACAGGTCATCACTGAAGGGAGGTAGCTGTCTGGCTCATCCGAACCCTCTGGCTGTTTTCGGACAATGGTCAGCGGTGGGTTCAAGCTACGGAAACCTGTGCAGCATGAAGATAAATACAAGCAGAATTCAACAAATGTATTACAATTTATGTCAGCCAGTAAATGCTAAGAACGAACAAACATTTTCAAAGGGTTAAAAATTGGGCACACAGACCCGTCAAACATTTATTGGAGTGCCTAAAGTACCTACCGCTCTTGCATCTGAGTATTTTTTTTTTACATGGAACGCATTATCGTACTATACATTAATTTATATGAGAAAAACGCTTAACGAGTATGCTACACTTTTATACTGATGCCAAAACACTATTTTTAGCCCATACGCCCTTGCAACTATGAAATCTTTTTAACAGCTAGGGCCCCTGCTGCAAATTTTTATTTGCCCACATTTCCAAGTGTTAGCACACACTGCAGCATTAAAACCCTGGGGAGTTCAAAAATTTGGTATTGGTATAGCCAAAACAGTGTTTTGGGGTGGGGAAATCATGGTTAAGCAAAACCGTCTTGCCCCTTCAATTCATCTTCCTACTTGGCTTCTGTTGTACAATCGCTTTTACCCTTCGTATATATTTAAACTGACGTTGGTGTTGTTTCGTTTTAATTTTAGATGGCGTCCG